AAAAAAAAAAAGGGAATATCTGATGCTTTTATTCAGAGCTGATGAAAGAAACCGGGGTGCTTTGGTTCATAAAAATAACAATCAAATTGACCTACATAACGCGCAGCCCATAATCATTCTAGGACAAGAGTGTAAGGACATTCAGCCCAGTAGGTCTACACAGATCATTGCTATCTTCTTTTCCCCCATCAAGGCACGTCCGTTAAGCAATGCCTTGTGTGGTGTTGACAACACGCAGTGCCCCCCCCCCCCAATTTAGACTAGCAGAGGCCTCAAGACAGTTGACATTTTGCCTCCCCTAGTAGCGACAGCGTACCTAGGGTGTGCGCAGGGGCCGGTCGTCCCGGGCGGTACCTTTGGGTTGCTATCCGGCTCTAACTGTTTATGAATCGATGTGTGTGTCAGAGGAAAGAACTTTATGGAGCAGAGTTTCTTTCAGGCCTCTCTGTGGGGGCGGGTGGGGGAAAAAGGTCAAACCCTCCCTGGAGGAAAAACGAGTACAATAATAAATAAAACGCAAATATATTTTACAAGGTGGGACATCTGTCTATCTCGGTTACGCCTCTGACCACTGTCACAGGCCCGCACCAAGGAAATACTGGGCCCCCAGGCAGCTGACAGAGTTCGGGCCCCTTTCGTGTTTCAAACATTGTGCGTATATTTTAAAAGGCGAGAAAGGGCGGGCCCCTATCTAGCTTCCCCCCACCCCCTCTAAATTTTGCAGGGTTTATTTTAATTGTCATGTACTGTGGCGCTGCCAGTAATAAACAACTGAACAAGCCGACCAATTTTTTTGGTTTTGACCAACCCTGTGGAAAAACCTGAAATGACGCCCCTGGACCCAACTAGACTATCTTCTACTTTTTATCCTATTCATTAGGCCAGTGGTCGGAAACTCATTTGTCAGAAATGATTAAAATCATTTAAAAGTTAAATAAATTCCGAAGCATCGTAATCTGTTTTCAACAGTTTCCGTAGTGTAGTGGTTATCACATCCGCCTAACACGCGGAAGGTCCTGGGTTCAAGCCCCAGCGGAAACATTTATTTTTTTCTGATTGGTCGCAAAATTTTTTTTGTGACTTTCCCCCTTATCGTATATTTATAAGCTTTTATGTCCAATTTGTAACTGGTACGATGTATGAGATCGTAACCAATGTTGTTTAAGTCGAAATGTTGTAAGACAATATCATCCTACATTTTTAATTTCTCTTCAGTTTTACAAAACGAAAAAACAAACAAACAAACAAATAAGACGATGAATACAATAAATAGTAATTTTAAAGCACGGCGAGCTGTAATAAAGAACTGATCAAGAAAAATCATTTTAGTCAATGGCAATGAAAACAAATAACCAAAAAAAAAAAAAAACCCCAAAAATCACCCACTGTAAAAAGGGGAAACTCATCATATTTAAAATGATAAGCTTTCACACGAATTTATTTATTTATTTATTTATTTAAAGAGGGGCAGACTAAGTGGTGCTGGAAACCTAGAAAGAAAGAATGCCAACAGCCAAAATGACAGAGGGGTGAAGAGGCTTCACCACCACCACAAAAAAAAAAAAAAAAAAAAAAAAAAAAAAAAAAAAAAAGGGAAAAAAAAGAAAAAAAAAAAAAAAAAAAAAAAAAAACGCCCAGAGAAAAACGGCTCAAAAGAGCAGACGTAGGCTTAGGCTTAGATTGATGAATGGTGTAGAAAAAGATCTACAACAACTTCTTCCACCCTATGACTTTATTCCCCAAAATTTTTTTTCCGTTTACTTTTTTCATGACTTTGTCCTTTGACTTTTTCTTTTTAAATTTTTACAGACAGTTCTTTTATGGACAGTTCTCTCTCTCTCCCCCCCCCCTTTTCCCCCTCCCCCAACACAACAAGGCGCACCGCAGTCCTGGAGCTGCGTGACACATTGATAAACTACAGACGTCGCTTGCTGGCCACGTTGTGTGCGCGCGCAGCTTGGGGTCG